AGTAAAAAGAAATTAAATGGCAGATCCACAAGCACTCATGATTCATCATTAACCTTGTGACTTATGACTTTCATATTATATTTGATAGAAAAATTAGTTTTCCTCTGTGAAGTAAATGATTTTTGGTCTAATAACTTTTAATCAGAGATAAATTTGTCTTAGTGCCCTATATAAACTAGTAGGGAACTTTTGATTTCATTCAAACCCATTGTGCTGTTTTTCTCTGTCAGTAGTAAAAAATCAAACAGATAAAATTTGGGGGCCCAAGTAAACTATAAGGAACATACCCCCTTGCGTGTCCAACTCAAATAGCCTACGTTCCCCATAATGATGAGTGTCTTAGTTAGGTTTCTGCTGTTATGATAAAGACTATGATCAAAAACAAAAGAGGGGGAAGGGTGTGTTTCAGTTTACATTGAGTTCATCACTGAGGGAAGTCAGAGCAGGAACCTAGAGCCATGAGGAGAGCTACTTACTGGTTCGCTCCCCGTGACTTGCTCAGCCTGCTTTGTTATGTGTAGCACCGGAACCACCAGGCCAGGGGTGGCACTGCCCACAGTGAGCTTGGCCCTTCCACATCTGTCATCAATCAGGGAAATCACTGCAGGCTTGCCCACAGGCCAATCTGGCCGGAGCATGTTCTCAATTGAGGTTCCCTCTTCAAATGACTCTAGTTTATATCACATTGGATAAAACTACCTAACACGATGTTTAGAGCATTTGTTGAGAACTCATTGTATGCTGAGTATAATGTCACTCTATCCCCACTGGAAAGATGCAGGCACTATTAATATCCCAACTTACACAAAATTGAGACTCAGCAATGAATTTTCCCAGGTCTCTTCTGTGAGGTAGATATAGGATGTGGAGTCATTTTCACATTGTCTAAATGTCTTATGGTCTGCCTCTACAAAGCCTTTGGTTCCTGCGTATAACTGTATTGATACTTGCAAATTACAAAACATGTATAGTTTGTAGTTCATGATTTATCACATCAGTATCCTAAATATTAATAACCACCATTTACTCAACAACTACTCTGTGCACCGTGCCATGCACATCACCACATCCAATTTAACCCCCACCCCAAAGCCCTATGGCAGACACAGTGTGATGAAATCAAGGTCTAAAGAGGCAAATGAACTTGCAGCTAGACACCATTCAGGCAGCCATCCCCATCTACAAGGATGCTGGAATTTGAAGTTTGGAAATCTGGTATTTTTAGCCTTCTGGAAGAGCAACACCCAGTTAACCCCTTGTTAACCTTCTGCATCTGCTTTGTTTGTATGGGTTAGTCACGTACATCGGAAAGCAACCTTCAGCTTCTGCACAAGAAAGAAATGGGACAGAAGCAGAGCCACGGAGGCCATCCCTAAGGCAACAAAAAAGATAAGGGAAGGCAACATTCCTTCTCAGACCTTCTGTTCACTAAAAATTGTGCCAAGTACCCAGGTTGGCTACCACTGTTCATCCAATGTGGTTGATAGCAAAGTCCTGTAACACTTCAAGAGTATAAACCCTGGTAGTCCAAGGTTACAGAAGCTCATCAGAGGAGTCACTGGGTGTGGTCCTTTGTGTTATGTGTATCCTATACAAAACCCTCTATGAGTACTGCTCTGGCTTTCGCCCTCTCTAGAGCACATTTCCATTTACTGGCCAGTTCTATGCTAAGAGAATTCCTCCTTGTTCTGAGCCAAAATAGAAGCCTAAAGCCTTCTTGCCTCCTCCTGGGACCCCACCAAAGCCTCTAAACTCCTCATGCCTATACCACCCTCATTTTTAAAGCAGGAAGGGCTAATGCCCCCATCACCAAGCTTTTCCTTTGAGCCTATGGAACTCAATACCCCTGACCTCTCAATAGACTCCGTCATATTCACCAGTAAGTTCTAAAATATGAGAAGTCAAATTTCTTCAGCTTATACATTTAATATTTGAAAATGTAGGACACCTTTACATTTTTCTAGTCTATCTCATGTTTAAATTCCCAATTAAATGTGTGAATCCACACCCTTCAGAAAAACATCAGGCATGGTGTTAAAAGCTAAATTTGGGCACATTAAGATTTTAAAGAGTTTATTTGAGCAAAGAGAATGCATGCGCTGGTCACCACTAATCTGAAGCCCAGGGGGCTCAAGTAAGGGCAAGAGAATGAGGAAACTTTGATACGTGTCCTTGAAAGCTAGACCAAAAAGATGACTGTGGATGACTGGAGTAGAAGGAAATTCAAGGATTCTTAGGCAGTATCTCAGTAGCAGGACTCACGTACTATTGGTTGCTTTATACACTGAGCTTGGGTTTTGGTTTGCTTAATAAGTAGGAACCCAGGGAACAGGAACAAGTTCAGATTAATAGCCTGTTATTTTTCTCAAGGGTGTATGAGAAGGGGTGCTGAGCTTAAATCTCATAACTTGACTCTGTCCCTAAGGGATACCTGCCTCTTCTATCCTCACAATTGTTTATGGAGGGCACTAGTGAAAGCTCCTTCCAGACCACTAGGGCTAATCCAACGAAACACCAGCCAGCAGGACTGATGCATCCATTCCCCTTAGCCCCAGTTTTTGCAGATTTCAACTCAAAAGAACCAAGCCATCCTATGTTTACTACATTCCCTAAGAAAAATATCAAATGATGTTTTTTCTATTACTCTTTTGGCTCTTTATCCTTTTGACAGGACCCACGTCACCCAACTCCCAAGTAAATCACACATGGAAGTTATTCTTAGTTATGAATACCAGGCCTTCATTTGGTTGTTTCTAGTCATCTTTTCTTAAATTAACCCAACTACCCTTTCCCTCTGGGCTTTTATCATTCTTACTTCTGTATTTTTTACTTTACTTCCTACTCCGTGTCTGGTGAGCCCCTGATGTCCTCCTCTCCTATCTCATTTCTCCCTTCTTCCTTGTCTCTCCTCCGACACTCTGCCTACCAGCCTTGCCTATGCTTGCTGCTGCCTGGCTATTGGCCATTCCACTCTTTATTAAATCATCAGGTGTTTTAGATAAAGAATCACAGAGTTTAAAAAATGCAGCATAAGCAAAATTCACACACCTCAAAATAATATTCCTAAAAAATCTGTTTCTTATCTTTGTGTGCATAGCTCCCACTCAGGGTTTGACTCTAAGAAGGGTTATGTTAAATGGTCCAGATGGTAACAAGAAAGGTTGGCTGAAGAGTGGCTTCAAAGGGTTGCTCATCATGTGAGCACATACCTATGGACCTAACTCCAGTTTGCCAATGTCCTGATAGTGATTGTGACAGCTCACTCTGATCTAGCTGGGTAACATGCAAGCCCCCTCACCACCACCACCTTGTACTATGAGCTGTTAACATTTAGGTTGGTGGGTTTTGTGTATTGTATTGTATTGTATTTTTAAGTAGGGTATTATAGTGCCCAGGCTGATCTAGAACTCATGGTCCTTCATCCCCTGACTATTGAGATTATAATTCTGTACCCACTCCCATAAAATCATGGGCTTTTATTTATGCCTTCAACAATCAAATTTGGGGACTGGGACAATGACTCGGTCAGTAAAGGGCCACCACACAAGTATGAGGACTTGAGTTCAGATTCCAACACTCAAATAAAAGCCAAGAATAGGAATTCACAACTCTAATCCCAGGACTGGAAAGGTGGAGATGAGTGAACCCATGAACTCATTGGCCAGTGAATCTAGCCAAATCCATGAGCTACAGGTTCTGTGAAGAATACTGTCTCCAAAAATAAGATGGAGAGCAATTGAGCCTGACACCAGACACTGATCTTTGACCTTACATAAACACACACACACACACACACACACACACACACACACACACACACACACACACTGAACCTCTGTCACTTGCAGATCTTTCTCTCATGCTCACTGCTAAAGCCCTTTGGACGTCAACCTTGAGGAGCTCTCAGCCCACTTGTTCTTAGTGGCCTAAGCCAACTAAGAGAAAAACATCTAACCACCTCCCTTTCTCTGAGCCTGACCTTCTCACTCAGAAGTGAAGACATGGACTTTCTGAAGGAAATAGGACTCTCTTCCAAGTGCCAAAGTTCTTTACACTACTGGGCACACAAAGGAGCTCAGAAAGTATTCTTGTAAGACATTTTTAATTGTGTACTACTTATTGAAAACCCGGCTAATGATTTAGGCAACATGTGTTCCCTCTACTGAAGTCATCATCTAAATCCCCATCAAGCTTATACCTTCCTACCACAAAGGAAACAAAAGTTCATCTCTCATGCTGTGTGTTATGGATCTTAGCTTTGTAAATGACATCATTTAAATACATAGTTGGTAGCCTTTTGGAACAAAAATGAATAAGGACTCTCTCTTTTGAGCTGGAGTCACACTGCTCTGCATTAGATACAGCTCTGGCAAATGTAGGACTTTAGAATTGTGGTAAATGAATTTTGGATATCATCCAGCATTTCCTGGTCCCAATGTATGTCCTTTGATCCTTTGACTCTGCCATTTTATTCTTTTTCTTTCTGGCCCTTCTCTATACCATTTAGTTTTGCTTGGTGTTTTATTGTTGGTTTTTTTTTATTCTTTTATTTTTATGTGTAAGAGTGTTTTACCTGCCTGCATGTCTGTGAACCATGTGTACAGTGCCCAAGGAGGCCAGAAATGGGTGTTGGATGCCCTAGGACTGGAGTTACTACTGAAAGTTCAAACTGTCATGTAGGTGCTGGGAATCAAACCCGGATCCTCTGGAAAAGCAGTCAGTGTTTTTAACCATTGAGTCACCGCTCCAGCTGCCTGTTTACTTTTTATCCTTCATTGTGGAGCTGACCCTTTGAATCCCTGACATTTCCTCTCAAATGTACACCCCTCATGTAAACTCAAGTTCCTACCCTGTTCCTCCTTCCTAGCCTAACGGTTGCCTTCGTAGAGAATGTTTCTTGAGTGGTGGTAATCCCTGCCCTGCCTCCCTTCTGGGGTGGCGCTTTAGGAATTCTGTGGCAGGCCAATCGCTAATGTGTCTGTGGTTCCCCTGGCCCACAGGTGAAGAAGACCTGAGTGCAGAGGAAGATGAGGAAGTGCTGACTCTGTTGTATGACCCATGTCTCAACTGCTACTTTGACCCTCAGACTGGGAAATACTATGAGTTGGTGTAGCTCCTGCCCCCAGGGCAGAAAGCAGCCACAGCGGATGGAACATGACCATGACAGCAGCATGACAACCACAGTGGGCACCGTGACCTCTGTGTTGTGCAGGTGGGCCCAAAGAGTCAAAAGAATTGGAGAGAAGTTCCGTGTGAGTGACGTTCAATGTTAAGAATGCCTGCATTCTCTTTGTAGCTGTGTGTGTGACTTTGAAACTTGTGTAGGAATTAAACCAGACAACAGATTTAGGTCCTGAATTTGCTCTTAGTTGTTCAGTCCCTTCGTCTAAGTCTTATTATGTTATATAAGCAAATTAAGAATTACTCAACTTTCCAGTGTTAATCTGTAATAAATTATGGCTTGCTACACTACATAAAGTGCATTCTTTTTTAAAAGATGCCTGGAACATTTTATAGCTTGTTTGTATTAAAATAAAGTGTAGTGGTCAAAAGACCACTTCCTTTTTTTCTCCCTGTTGTCTTTACCAAATTATTCCTAGGCCACTTCTCATTCCTTTGGACTCTTAGGAAACATGAGCTAGTTGGATTTTGTGATCATGTTTCTGAACTGACTTCTCAGTCCGGTGCCTTGAGCGAGCACTTGCAGAGATCACAGCACCATGAAGATTAGACTGCTCAGCACTGCACTTGCTTTTGCGCCTCTTTTACCACTTACCTTTGAATTCTAATACTCGAGCTCTATGGATCCAGATGTAAGAAGGAGTTGCCATCTAAACACCCTTTCATGCCTCACTGCCTCTGTGACCTGTGCCTAGAGAGCCTGGGTGGCTTTCTCTTGTCTTTAAGACAACATCAGAGCAGCTCTGCTTGCATCCCAAGGCAAGAAGTGTACGTGTCCTGCATCTAGGTAGCTGGCCTTGAATAGTGTGCCAAGTGTGTTAAGACTAAGCTGGGAAAGTTCTTATTCACAGGCATGTGTTGTTTTTCTATAGAGCTTTTTAATAAGAAAAGGTACTGTTAGAAAGAAAAAATTATTGGTGTGTGGTTGGATTTAACAGCAGTGCTCTGATTTCATTTAATGTTGCTTGATAGAGGAATAAGAACTTTTTCCATAGCAGATTGGGCTCCTGTCCAAAGGATCATACATTATTTAAAGCCATGTTTGTGCTTGATAAGCTTTTAATCCTTTTTCTCAAATTATACCTTTGTTATGAATGTCTCTCAAATATCTTCATGTTTACAAAATGAAAATGAATAAAACGAGGCTCCATAAAGCATGCAAAATTATAAAAGATTTAGAGTTGGTTGGAGGGGTGTTATTTTAATTTTTGACTGTCTTGGAACTCTCACTCTGTAGACCAGGCTATCCTCAAACTCACAGAGATCCACCCATCAGTGCCAGAGTGCTGGGATTGATGGCATGAGCCACCATACCCACAAAAGTTGGAGTTATCTTGATTAAGAGCTTGAAGATTGAAATGGGGGTTAAAAGTCTTTAAACCTATTTTGAATAGACTTGAGGCTATCCACAGAGTAGACCATGTCGTTCAAAAGTTTTTTAGTTAGGGTTTGCAGTTACATCAAAACATGAGCTTCTTATTAGGGAGGAGGGTAAGGATGCAAGAATGTCTCATACATCCCAAAACAGATTGCTTCCAAGTTTCCAGGAAGATTTAAGAAGAGATCCCAAGAACAACGGAAAACTCTGCTGGCATTCTTTGTAAGAATAGACAGCCTTCAGCCCAGATTCAAAGACTGGCTGAACAAGCAAGCTGGGGATCAGGGTGGGAGTCATGGCAGCTGCAGTGTGACCCCTGGAGCTGCAGCAACTGTCCATCCCTCGTGACAGTCGGTTACCACGGCAGTGGTACCTTTTCCTGTCTCAGGTTTCCGCCTAAGGTTCAAGAAAGCAATGAGGCAGGGTAACGGGGCAAAGTGAGGTCCTAAAAGCCTTATACAGTTGACATATGTGAATCTAAACTGTCAAAAGGAAACCTAGAAACATATTTGCAGTCCAGACTCATTAAAAATGAGCAGGCACCTGAAGATACACAGTGGCATTCCAGGGTCTATGAAGTACTCTGGCTCATTGTAATACCTAAATGCACAGCCCTGAATGGGGATTTAAATTGCCAGTGAGATATGTGACACATGAAGTTTACAGGTCCGTATGTAGAGCTTTGGCCAGATAGTCTGCACTAGGAGCCCAAGATGCCAAAACTCCCATGGCGTACAAATGGGCGAAAAACCTGCCCCGACCCTGCAGCAGGCCCTGGCACTGCTGCACTCTCCCTGTCCCAGCCTCTGTCACCCTGGAAGTGAATCTTTTTCTAACTATTCTTCCCTCCTGTTACAACTGTGTCTCTTCTAAATTTCTTGTTCAGGGACAGAAGAACCTTGAACCCCCCAGGAGTTGTACTCAGACCTCTGATGATATCAACCAATGTCACTAGTAAGCCTGCTTGTCCATTTTCCATAGGGCCCATGGGATGAGGGGAAGAGAGTCTCCAAGGAGAAAGGGTGCTGTTAATGAATGGAGGAGTGTCAGGCAGACAAAAAACCAACCGAAGTTTATCTCTGCTTCTCCTCTGACGCGTCTTGCTCTCTGAAGCTCTCTCCTCATAACTTTTAATTACAAAGTCCTCAGGCCAGGACACTCCTCTCCCATAACCAGCCATATAGAAATCTTAGCTTTCATTTTTTTTGTTCAGAAATGCAATTGAGAGTAACAGCTGGTCAAGTTTGAGGCAGGGCTTCTTCTGTGGATGAAGGAAGAAGGCTGTAGAAGCCCCTGTGAGCTGAGATACCACTCCAGAGATGGCTACCACAGGGTCTAATTAACCAGTCTATACATTTGATTGTCTTTTTTAAAGGATAACAGATGAACAGTTGTCTATAAAAGAATAGAAGGTGTAAAAAATGATTTCACACCACCAATTTTAAGCCAAAGTGGTGCATTCTGTTTATTTGGAAATTCACTGGCTGGGGTTTACTTCACCGTATCAAGTTCTGGTGCCTCCTGTGACTGGTGCCTAGGTTCTATATCCACAAAGTCTGACTCAGTTGGTGCCAAGCACACCTGGACATTGCGGGTTTTTGAAAACAGCAAATTTAATTTGCAGTACTGATTGAGAGTCTCACAAAAGACTGGTGGTATGTGTGCCTGTGGGAACCATTCCATAGCATCTTCTATTTTCAAGGCCTTAATTTCTAATATGGGTCACTTAAATCTAGAACTGATGGCTGCAATGGACACTGAAAATAATAGATGGCCTCAATATGGAGCCATGCCTGAAGGTCATTTGCTATCAGTCCGATGACTAATTTAGTTTCTCGTTTCCTTTACTCACAACGAAACTTGCAATGAGTTTTAGTCTTCAGTCTCTAAGTGATTATTGAATTACAGATCCCAATTGATAGGAATTATGAAAGAGCTACTGTCAACAATGCATCATATCACATCAGTGATTCAGTGTCCCTGGAAATGATGGGTGCTCTCTGCCTACTCGAGCCCAGCCCCAACAACCCTCTCTCCTGCTCCTATGAATCTGTTTTCCATGGAGGGAAAAGACTAGCATGCATATGCTGAGTTTGGTAAAATACTTTGCCATGTAGTATCTCTCTATCCTTTAGATTAACTTCATTCAAATCAGTTGTCTCAAACATATTCTTGGTTTGGGTTTTTTTAAATAGAAACTTATAAGAAGCAAGACTAGTGGTGTCACTGAGTACAGAACTCAAAGAACAATTAATTAAAAGAATTACTTTTAATATTGCTCTTTGGCTTAGTACAGATCTACCTGTTGGAGGTTTCTGGGCTGTTGTATTTAAAACTGAGCAATGACAGAAATCACTTGTTTCTACTCGGGTTGTATGTCTCAGTCTTCTGCAATGGCTGGAATGCTGGAAGCTTGGCATCAGCTATGCACCTGCTTGTGTAGCAGCATCACAGTTTCATACATCAGTCATTTTGCATTCCAGACAACCTGGTCATAGAATTCTGTTTTCTCTATTTCTCCTAGTAGATGAGTTGGGGTGCAATCATCTAATTTGTATAGCAAGAATAATCCAAAACTATATTTTTATTAATTTAAATTAGAAGCAAGCTTGCTTCACATGTCAATCCCAGCTCACTCTCCCTACCCTCCCCCACTAGCCTCCCCAACCCTCCATCCAATTCCCCACTTGACTCTCCAGGAAAGGTGAGGCCCTTCATGAGCGATCTCCAAAGTCTGTCATATTGTCCAGGGCAGGGCCTAGGTCCTCCCTCATGTGTTCAGGCTGAGAGAGTATCCCTATATGTGGAATGGGCTTCAAAAGTCCATTTGGATGCCAGGGATAAATACCGATCTAGTACTCTAGGCTCCAAAGCTTGCTGAGGCCTCCTCACTGACACCCACGTTCAGGGGGGTCTGGATCAGTCCCATGCTAGCCTCTCACCCATCAGACTGGGGTCCACTAGCAACCCCATGTTCAGGTCAGCTGTTTCTGTGGGTTTCACCAAGCTCGGTCTTGACCCCTTTGCTCATCACTCCTCCCTCTCTGCAACTGGTTTCCAGGAGTTCAGTTCAGTGTTTAGCTGTGGATGTCTGCTTCTGCTTCCATCAGCCACTGGATGGAGAAACTCGAGGATGGCATATAAGGTAGTCACCAATCTCATTATCGGGGAAGGGCATTTAAGGTAGCCTCTCCACTATTGCTTAGATTGCCAGCTGGTGTCATCCTTGTAGATCTCTGGAAATCTCATTATTGCCAGATTTCTCCTCAAACCTATAATAACTCCCTCTATTATGGTATCTCTCATCCTGTTCTCCTCTATTCTTCCCCCGACTCAACTTTCCTGCTCCCCCATGTCCTCCTCTCCCCTCCTCTTCCCCCCCTCACTTTACCCCAGCTCCCTGTCTCCTCTCTCTATGCTCCCAGTTCACTCAGGAGATCCTGTCCCATTTCCCTTCTCTGGGGTACCATGCAGATCTCTCTGAGGGTCCTCTGTGACTCCCTAATGGCTAAGGATGTGGAGCACTTTCTTAAGTTTCTTTCAGCCATTTTAGACTCCTCTATTGAGAATCCTCTATTTAGATCTGTACCCCACTTTTTAATTGGACCCTTTGGTGTTTTGGAGACTTGCTTCTTGAGTTCTTTGTAAATTTTGGAGATCAGCCCTCTGTCAGATGTGGGGTTAGTGAATATCTTTTCCCATTTTGTGGGCTGCCTTTTTGTCTTGTTGACTGTGTCCTTTGCCTTACAGAAGCTTCTCAGTTTCAGGAGGTCCCATTTATTAATTGTCCATCTCAGCATCTGTGCTACTGGTGTTATGTTCAGGAAGTGGTCTCCTGTACCAATTAGTTCAAGGGTACCTTCCACTTTCTCTTCTAGGAGGTTCAGTGTGGCTGGTTTTATGGATCAAAACTGCTTCTTTAAACCTCAAACTTTTCAATTCAGATTGAAAATATTAAGAGGACAGAGTATAATCCTTGATCCCTCACTTCTAGGTAGGTTCTTCTCACAG